AACCCGGTTGGTGGGACTTCTACCTGTCGTGTCCTGGCGTTATTACAATATCTCTTGCTACCTTGTATGTCTAGCTAATGTTCTGCTATTTTTAGTGATTAGACAGCCTTCTGCTATAGGCTAATAAGCTTTTAGCCAGACTTTTCTACCGTCATTTTTTTTGCTGATGTTCTACTGCTTTTAGCTATAGTGCTGATAGTTTTAGCTACTTTTCTGTTATTTTTAGCTTTTATCTACCATTTTGCTAATTTAGCTGTAAACTAGCACCATTTAGCAAGTATTTTGCTACTTTAGCTTATATTCTTCTATAGTTAGCTTTTTGCTATTATTGTGCTATTTTTAGCTTTTGACCTAGCTTTTGCTACTTTTAATTTTTGCTACTTTTCTGCTATAGGCCTATATGCTATAGGCCTTTTAGGCAAAAATTATTCTACTTTCAGTTTAGTTAGACTTTTACCACTTTTATTATTTAACCAACATTTTGCTACCCTAATATTTAGCTGTTCTGCTATTTAAAGCTTTTAATTAGCTTATTGATACTTGTAGCATTTAGTTAGAGTTTTGCTGCTATTTTATTTTATTTTTTACTTTTAGCTTCTATCTAATCCTTTGGTGCTTTTAGTTAGCATTTAGTTTCTTTTAGCTTTTAGCTAGTGTTCTGCATCTTTTAGCTTTAATCACTCAGTTTCATCTTCTTCAGCAGTCATCAGTATGACAAATAAAGAACTTTGAATCCTTGAATCCTTCTCAATGCGTTTTTGCAGAATATGCAGGAGTTTATTTTAGTTTCAGCTCGTTTCGTCCCATGAAGTTTGCCGCACGCTCACTGAACATGTTGTTGCCTTCAGACTGGGACTTCTGCGCAGGAGGAGTGTAACGGACCCGTCCCGGCCCCCAGCCTTCAGGAGCCCTCCACCAACCACACAGGCTCAAGTAACTCCGCTCCTCCACCGCACGTCAGCACAGGTTCGCCCATCAGGTGTCAGTCTGTCTCCTCTGACATGTGTCGCCACATCGTGTTCTCAGACAAACGCAAGCTGTCATCTGTCAGGAGGACTGTTCAGCGACTCTTCTCCTCCACATCTTCGACAGGCCCAACAGAAACTCAGGTTCAACCCCTCTCTCTCTCTCACAAACACATTTGACTCTAAAAGCTGAGCAGCAGGGATGTGCTGTCGACTTGGCAGTGACAGCTCAGTGTCAGTCCAGCTCACCCGTGTGATGGGAGGAGCACTACATCATGAAGTTATGAAGTAATATATGTGCATGTGATTAAGCTGATCACCTGCTCATCAGTCAGTCCATCATGTGTTTCTTCTTTTCACTCTCAGGAACCTTCGCCTCCTCCGCTAGCTGACACCTTGTCCCCCGAGGAGGTACAGCACCACACTGATCCACCATCCACACACAAACCAGTCAGCTGATTGATCATACTAACCCCAGTTCATCTCTGCCTTTTAATTGGCCGAATCAGATCAAAGTCTGGGAGGAGGTGGAGCTGGACAAACCAGTGGATTTGGAGCAGATCCACATAGACCCCTCCCCGTTTCAGCTGGTGGAGAGAACATCTCTGCACAAAGTGAGTTCAGCAGAGCTAAAACACACACTTTGATTTACAAGTTGCACTTTCCAGAGAGTAGAAAAAAAAAAAAACTGGTCAGAAGCTACAAGGACCCCTGACGCAATAATACGCCATGTTGAATCTTGTTTAATTCATACAAAATTGACTTGTTACAAAAACTAGAGTTATTTAAGCTGAATTTGAAAATGTTACTGATCACACCAAGATAAATATATAACCATCTGGAGTGTGCTTTTTAATAAATGACCTCAGAGGAGCTTGTTGGCAGTGTTTGCTTGTTTGGACAGAATATTTAGCTTTTCACAGCCTCTATAATGAGCAGATTTAACAAGCTGCAGAAGGATGTTAAAATTATATGGTCCAAATCTAAAATTATTCCTCTAAAAGTCAAAGTCACACACTACAAACATTTCATTTTGTTATTCTAAGTTTCAGAATATGTGTGTAGAGTTTGAGCAGAACTTGTCTTTGTGTTTATTTTTTGCCATCCAGAGAAAATGATTAATTGTATTTTGCAAACTGTTTAGTGTTCAAACAGAGTGTATGTGGGAGGAAGAGCATAGAAGAGAAAATAGTTTATTGTCACTGAACATCCCAAAGGCAGCTCAGCCTCTTAGTTCTTGAAGATGATATCATCTCTGATCACCAGAAACACTTTTAAATTGGCGCTGAGCAGATTTGCTTGAGTTTTAAAGAAGTGCAGCACAAAGCTTGTTAACACAAGTAAATCTGCTCAAAATCCAAATAAAATGGTAAATTGTGAAATGAAACTGAGCAGATTCTTTTTTATCTCGCCCTTATGTGTTTCATGTTTTGTAACATTAGAATTAGTTGGAAAATATATTTTCTAGCTTGCTGGGGAGCTAATAAATGAAAATGATCAAATCTTTTGAAGTAAAGTTCTGTAGAAAGGTTGTTATCTTAGAAGAGTAAATATCTTACCTGGTGTAGATAGTGTTGGAACTGCTTCAGTTTGGAGAATCAAAACTGTTCATGTTTCTTTTAAAATCCGTCTGACAGTCTAACACTCTGACTGTCCTACAGTCTAACTGTCAGACTGTAGGACAGTCAGACAGTTAGACTGTCATACTGTAGAACAGTTAGACTGTTAGACTGGACAACAGTCAGACAGTCTGACAGTTAGACTGTCAGTCTGTAGGACAGTTCAGAGTGTTAGATTGTCAAACTGTAGGACAGTCAGACTATCCTACAGTCTGTCCCACAGTCAGGCTGTAGGACAGACTGTAGGACAGACTCTAGGAGAGTTGGACTGTTGGAATGTAAGACTGTCAGATTGTAGGACAGTCTGACAGTCTAACACTCTGACGGTCCCACAGTCAGACAGTTAGACTGTCAGACTGTCCTACAGTCTAACAGTCAAACAGTCTGACTGTCCTACAGTCTAACAGTCAAACAGTCTGACAGTCTAACACTCTGACGGTCCCACAGTCAGACAGTTAGACTGCCAAACTGTAGGACAGTCAGACTGTTGGACTGTTAGACTGTAGAACAGTCTGACAGTTAGACTGTCAGTCTGCAGGACAGTCAGAGTGTTAGACTATTAGGCTGTAGGACAGTCAGCCAGTTGGACTGTTAGACTGTCAAACTGTAGGAAAGTCAGACTGTTTGACTGTTAGACTGTCAGACTGTAGGACAGTCAAACAGTCTGACAGTCAGACTGTTTGACTGTCAAACTGTAGGAGAGTCAGAGTGTGACTGTCACACAGTAGGAAAGTCAGACTGTTACTGTCAGACTCTAGGAGAGTCAGACTGTTTGACTGTCAGACTTTAGGGCAGTCAGACAGTGGGACTGTTAGAATGGTTGACTGTAGTACAATCTGACTATTAGACTGTCAGCCTGTTGGACTTTTGGATTGCTGGTCTGACCGAGTACTGACCAACTGTTGGACTGTCAGTGAGTTAAGACTGATGGATGGTATATGTTGTTAGAGTGCTCACAGCAGGGCCAGCCAGCTCTGAAACAATCAGAACGATCAAACTACCAGTACATGGAAACAATGCAGGTTCTTGTAATTCGCTCTACATTTTGACAAAAACATTTTCTTGAGGAGTTTTGTGATAAACTCTTACAGGTAAACATCTGGCTGAAGGTGGCCTGAGGTGAAACACGCCTGGTCAGACCTGTGTTTAGTGTAGCTGTAAGGCTACAGACACATCTGAAAGACAAGTCTGAGTTTATTTCTGACCAGATCAGTTAATCCAAGCAGGGACAAGACCAACGTGAACTGCTGCTGTCTTAAAGCAACTCTAGTCTCAAAACTGTTATAGCAGTTCATAAGAACACCGTTTTATAAATGTTTCCCTGCTGTCGGTTTTTTATTAGTTTTATTTTTATTTAACTTATTTGCAAATGTTAATAGCAGCAGCAGCAGCTAGCAGTAGTCCTTCGAGTACAGACCAGGGAGCATCAGGCAGGAATTTCATTATATTTTTACTAGAATAGTTACGTAATGTAAAACTGACAATTGTGTGAAGGTTTATAAAACATTATTTATGTAATTTTTTAATGAAATCTTTGAGATTAAAGATGTTTTAAGGCCACAGCAATTCTCTTTGACCTTAGCTTCTTCCAGCTGTTAGCTCCTCTAGTTGGTCTGAATTAAACTGTTTTTAAATGGGCTCTTCAACAAACTATCTAGAACAGGTAAGATGTTAACTGTTCATAAGCTTTCCTTCAAACAATCTGGGCTATCCCTTTAAAGTCTCCCTTTTCTGCTGCAGCTGCTGTACGTAGCCATGTCACACGGTGTTTATCCTCCTTTACCTGCAGAGAAATTGTTTAGCAGTGCAGTCATGCAGGCAGATTGCTGTCACAGCCATCAGATTTATTGCTGACTGGATCATGTCGTCCTCCCTCTCATTCCTCAGACCCACACTCTGTTCTCCCTGCTGGGTCTCAGTCATGCCTATGTCACCAGCATTGGGAAGCTGGTGGGCGTTGTGGCGCTGAAAGAGGTAAAGTCACTCCTCGTGTTTTCTTTATCTGCAGCATTTTCTCCGTCTGATCTGATGAAGTGGCATGGCAGCGAGCTCTGATGATCTCACGTCGTGGGCAGCTGCAGTGCCTCATCGTTCACACTCTGATTCGTGCCGCTCTGCTCGCTGGATGTTCACTTTTCTGATCACACGTGGTCATGTTCATGAGTTGCTGTGCTTTGGGGGGGATTCTTCTGCAGATGTTTGAAATGCACTTTCTCATTTTGCAGCTCCAGAAGGCTATAGAGGGCTCGACTCGCAGCGGGGTGAGGCTTCGACCCCCCCTGGCCAGCTTCAGAGATGCCAGCAGGAAAGCCAAGAAGCACCCGCCCCCCTCGTCCGCCACCTCCTCGCCCACGCGGGACAGAGACCTGTGGGGAGAAGGGAGCAGAAGGGAGAGCGTGATGCTGAGGAGGGAGTCCTGGGATGATTCCCGGGGAAAGACTCCCGGGTCTGAAACAGCCTTCTCCTCTCCTAGCAGCTCTGCCAACGCAAGAGGAGCAGAGGGGGATTCTCAGGAGGCAGCGTCCCCCTCCACCTCCTCCTCTACCTCATCTTCACCTCCTGCCTCCTCTGGGACACACACAAGCCCTGTCCTCACGCTGTCCTCCCTGCCAGAGGAGAGGGAGAGCGAGGAGTCCGATGAGCCTTTATAACAAGGAGAAGGACCTCTTTTCTGTTTTGGATTTGACTCCTTTTGCCCAGAGACAGAGCTGCAGTCTAGGAGGAGGAGGAGTCAGGCCTCCTGCAGCATCCCTCCCACCCCCCACCCCACCCACAGACTCTCATCCAGCAGGATCAGCTGCTTCACACAAAGCTCTTAAAACATTTAGTTCAGGATAGTTTTTTTCTATTTTCACAAAGTCTCACTTTTTTTAAGCCTCAGGTGCCTTCGTCTGTCTTCTGAACTGCAGACAGCTACAATCAGTCCAGATGTTCTGTCTCCACACAAATCTGAGCTGAATCATCACGATAAAAACCTAAATCAGTCACTTTCATTGAGTACATGTGAGCGTGACAGCAATGACCTGTGCGATAATGAAAGAATAACAAATAAAAGCTTGAGTCGTTCGACCTAAAGGTCACAGAAATCATGCATTTCAAGTTTACTGATTGAAGCTCATTTAAAGCAATAAATAAATAAATAAATGATTTATATGAAAATTATTGAAATCGTCGTTACCTTTGTCAATTATAAAAAATCAACAAACTCGTGTTGTCAGTTAACTTATTTGAATTATTTAGAGTTCATGTCTTGATAAATTGGTCAACATTAAATCAAACTTTGGATTTTAGCATTAGGCTAAATTATACTTAAAATAATTGATGTTTTTAAATTTGTGTATTTATTTAGAAGTTTAATTTTTGAAAGATTTATTAAAACAACTTCACAGTGTGACAGAAAAAGATCAATTTCTGTCACACTGTTGAAGCCCAACTTCAACAAGGGTCAGGTGTTACTTTGAGTATTTGAACAGAGGTGTCGTATTTTTCGGACTATGAGTCGCTTTTTTTAAAATATTTTGGCCAGTCCTGCGACATATAGTCCAAAGCGACTTAAATATGTTTTTTTTCCTCTTCATGAGGCATTTTTTAACAGATGCGACCTTTACTCCGGTGCGACGTATAGTGCGGAAAGTGTGATAGTTATTTTTCCTAGTCTGAGGCGGTGCAAAGTAACGGACTGTGATGAGTGAAGGTAGCAAATTTATCCAACACAAGGTGCAATGGCAGAGACAAGGGGGGGCCAAAGGTGGCCTTGGCCACCATAGATTAAACGTTGGTCACCCCACGACCACCTCAATCATTTAAGGAATTTATTCTGTTAAGCAAAATAAAAACTAGATAGCATAGTTTATATATATATATATATATATATATATATATATATATATATATAT